AAACCGAATTTAATTTTTATTAATTATTTTAGTTGTAATGAAGATTCTAATATTAGTTTTTTAGATTAAGAGTTAAACTCCTTTGCGTAATTTCATAACAAAAATTACAAACATAACCTACAACTTTTTGTTTTTAAGGTACTTCGGAGAGCATTACACTTATTTTAAAGTGGACGAAAAAATATAGAGAAAATTACAGGAATTTAAAATTGTAGTTTTGTTCAGAATTTTTCACAATTAAACGAGTATTTTAAACATTTTAATAACATTTTTGGGTTTCTAAAATGCATTTTATAATTTTAAAATTATGCAATGGAAAATATAATTCAACTTGAAAACTTAAGATTTTTACGATTCAAATACAAGAAATTGAATTTTCAGAACGAGAAAATTATTTTAAAAAATTTAATTTAATTATTATCTAGAAATTATAACTAATATATTTCTAAAATCTGTTTACAAGACAATTTCATGAAATTTCGAATAATTTGAAAGTTTTTCAATTAAATTATTTGAAAATATAAGTAATATAAAAAAAATTTTTCAAAAAACTAATTTATTCAGAATTTGTAATTAAAATTTATTACAATTCAACTTTTCTAAAATTTTAATTTTAAACTTTTTGAAATTCAATCTATATTAATAATATTAGTAATATTAATTTAACATTTTATTTTTTACTATTTTATAGGATCTGAAATTTTTTTCTCTTTCAAATTTTTTCGACGAATTTAATTAAAATTGTATTGAAAATAATGGAATTGTTTCAAAGAATTGTAGTTGATTTTCTTCAATTTATTGTTAGAAATATAAATAATTTTAAATACGAGTTGTGAAAGTTTGAAAAATAAAAAATACTAAACTTTGAAAGAAATTATATGAAATTTAGTAAAGTTACATTAAAATTTAATTAATATTCTTAATATTTGATATAACTGTACTAGATTTCGCATTATAAGTTTTTTTGAAGTTTAGTATTTTTTATTTCAAAATTTCGCTTTGTCGCATTTTATCCCCAAATTGTAAAATACTTTTACAAAATTTAACATTTATTTGGGGTCGTTCATAAACTACGTCACGTCCGGTCCTAGAGAGGTGGGATTATTTTAGCGTGATTTCTGCAGAAAAACGTCCCCTTTTCTCTTCGTGTACCTATTCTCAAAATAATAAAAAAATTTGAATTATGAATGTAATAAAATAATTCTTTTCTATGATAATTTATTTTATGTAGCTTTCATTAAAAAATTATATGTAACTAAATATTTTGAAAATCCGAAATCAGCTATAATAATTTTTTATTTTTTGCAATTAAACAAAATAGCAGAGTTGAATATGTATACTTTAGAAATTTTAAGAAATCGCGAATTAATTGCTTCATTATTTAAAGAGACGGTAAACGGTGAAACTCTAGTCTGATATTGGTTTGCTGGAGGTTTAAACCTGGATGACTGGTATGTGCAACTGGCAAAGTGTTTATGAATCATGAGAATACAAAAAAGTCACGCACCCCAAATAAACGAGTGCATATAACGATTATAACCTGACAAGTTTTCTTTAATAGAAACATTTTTTTTATAATTTCAATTTTTTTTATTGTATTTAATTAAATAATTACAAAATTATAAATATTGATTAATATGATAAAAAATTATTGAAAAAATTGATACATATTTTAACTATAATTTGAGACATCAGGAAAGGAAAGATATAATTGTTTATTAGTTTTAAATTTAATTAAGTAGATCATTAGATATTTATGTTAAGTACATTTTTTTGCATTTAAAATTTCATTTATTAATTTTTTTTAGTTTAAAACTTAAAACTTTTACTTTTTTAAAATTGAGATAGAATTTCTATAAGGATATTAATTAATCAACGTTAATTAAAAGATGAAACTTATACCTTCAGATTTAGATTGAAAAAAATTGAACCAAACTTATAACCATTTCAAGCTATTCGTTTTATTTCACATTTAGAAAAATGTTATTGTTATATAATTTTTAATTTTACTCCGAATTCGTCTAAAAATAATTATTTTTGTAAAATTTAAATTAATCTATAATTAACTTAAATGAATTTTCATGATATGTTTTCACTTTGATTTGCTAATAAATTTTAATGGCAAATGAGTTTCGAGTGGGATGTCCAACTTGAAAGTGCGTCAAGATAAATTTATCTAAGTCACTATTAATGACCTCGATTTCCTTAATTAAAAACTAAGAGTTTCACATATATTTTCATTATTAGTGTTAAATGTGAAAATGTCAATTAAAAATGAATATAATTAAGTCAAAAATTTATTTTTTTCGCTTTTTTCAAAAGAAAAAGAAAGCAATTTCTATCTTTGATTGGCTTCTATAATTATAGCTTGAAATTTCTTAATCAACGCTCTTACTGATTTATTGAAATAGGTGTAGTGTCGCTGACTGATTTACAATAGTAAAATATTTTCAGTTTTTGGTTAGAAGTTTTTCTAAAATATGATAAATGAAATTAAAATTCACAAATAATTTTGCTTCTAAACTTTTCAGCAAAAATTTAAAAATAATTAGTCATTTGAAAGATTTTATAAACATTTTTTTTAAATAATTGATTTCTTTATCGAGAAAATTTAATTAAAATTGTATTAAAAATAATGGAATTTTCGCAAAAAAAAAGAATCAAATTTTTCCAAAGAATTGTATTATTGAAATTTTTGAAAATAACTTAATAATTCTTATCAAGAATAAATTTTATTAAAAATTTTATAAAATAATTTAATTTTTGCGAAAAATGTTTTTTGAAAATAATAAACAATAATAATTAACTTTCTATTTAATAAGTGAATTTTTTAATAAAAAATATCCACTAATATTTTCTTATCCTGGTAATAACTTAAATTCTAAATTTTTATCAAATGCAATTAAGTATTTAAAAATAATTCTTAAAAATAAATAATATTTTAACTTATTCACTTATTTAAATACAAAAATAAATATTTAATACAATATTTGATTATTTCTTAAAATTTATATAAGAATAAGAATTTTATCAACATTTTTTAAAAAAACATTAAATTTCCAAACATTGTCTTAAAAAGTTTTGAAAGTATTTGAATTGTTTTGAACAATTTCTTTGAATTTCTTTTTAAATAATCGATTTTGTTAAAAATTTGTAATTAATAATTTTATTATTAAAGTCTTTTAAAATATTGTTAAAAAATTGAATTCTTTTGAAGAACTTTATCAGATTTTTTATGAAAATAATTAAACTTGTTCGACTAAATTCTTTAACTATTTTAAAATAAACTAATTTTTAAAACAATTTTAATTGAAAATTTAGTTTTTATTTATGTTTTGAAATTAATTAAATTTTTTAAAAAAAATTTCACTCAATTATTTAAAATAATCGTTTTTGTTAATAAATATAGGTAAATAAAAAATTTTATTAAAATTTTTACGAAATAAAAGAATTCCGGATAAGAATTTTCGTTTTAATAAAAATAATAAAAATAATAAAATACTTGTGAAGCATTTTATTAAAATTTTTGAAAACATTTAAATTTTGTTGACTAATTTCTTTAAATCTTTTGAAAATAATGTAGTTTTTTCTAATAATTTTAAATGAAAATTTTAAACGTGTACTTATATTTTATTCGAAGAATTTCTCTCAACTTCTTAAAATAATAGATAGTGTTCATTAATTATTGTAACTAAAAATTGTATTCAAATTTTTTTTGTGGGTATAAATGAATTCTTTTAAAGAATTTTATTAAAATTGATTTTTTCGATAAAGTTAGACTCGAAAGTTATTAAAGTTATTAAAATTGAATTGAAAATAATTACATTCGTGAGAAGAATTTTATTATTTATGAAAATAATTCAATTCTTTTAAAGAATTTAAAAAAAATTGATTTTTTTCGAGAAAGTTATTAAAATTATTAAAATTATATTGAAAATAATTGAATTCCTAAGAAGAATTTTATTATTTATAAAAAATAATTTAATTTTTGCAACGAATTTTATTAAATTTTTTTATATTATTGAATTCCTGTGAAAAATTTTATTATAGTTTTAAAAATAATTGAATTTGTTCAAATTAAAAAAAAATAGTGGGTTTTAGTAGATGAGAGCAAAGCCAGAAAATATTACTATTTGTTTTAGTAAAATATTTCTATTTTTTATAATAAAATATTTCTATATTTTTAGTAATTCTGATATTTTAACTACCTAAAGTTTCAGTGAAAAATGACTAAAAATTAATAAAAATTCTTTCCATTATGAATTAGTGGCTCAATTTTCACCAATTCACACTCAGAGAGTGAATATTTATTTAACTCAAATAAATAATTCGGGTTAAACAAACTTTACAGTGGATAACCCAAAATTTAGTTTTATGCAAAAAAATAGAGTACCTATTTGATTCAAATATAATTTTTCCCCGAGTAAAAGAAGAAACACTTTGCTTTTAAAAAGATATTTTTAAAGATAATATTTTACATTTCCGGAGACAAAACTGCAGATATTTGTTTTATTATAGAATTTCAGAAAAGATTTGTTATTGTTTTAAATTTACAAATTATAATCTTTATAGCACTTTGGAATAAATATTTATATCGAGTCAATGACATTGATTTCCAATCTATATAGTATACTCTTTACATATATATAGATTGGTCTTTGTCACACAGCTATATAGATACATATCGCCAGGCAACCCTGGAGAAACCCCTTTATATTAAATTTACTGTAGAAAATTTAAAAATAGTATTCCTTACTTTTTGAATTGGGAGAAAACAATCGAAAAGCTCTGTAATAATAAATTTTCAATTTAACTATTGTTAAACTAAAAAATTTATTATTATGAAATTATGAATGAACATTGTTGTGTAAATATTGTTAGGAAAAATTTGCCGGCCGGAAATGTCAGTTCGATTCGAGAGAGAATACGAAAAACTGTTTGTTGAGGGGAGAAAAAAGATTTATGGATAATATTTTGAAGTGTATTTTCGTGTTACTTACCGAAAAATGGTAGATCCTGTCACTGACCACCACTTTACAATGCACAAAGGCGTACCGGAACGAATAAACAGAAAACTCTCACAAGTCGATTCTCAGTCTCACCGAACAACTAAACTGAAATAAGTAACATGAACTGAAACTACTGAAATTTAGGAACTTGGCTCACTTGCCAGCAGCCGCTCTCACTCTACACTGAGAGGTGCCCAGCTGTAGTCGCACTCCAAGTTAGTCACAGCCTCAGCACCTTTACTACAACGCGGTTCAGTTTAGTTTGCTTGGATCGCCAGCAGGACTAGACCGTGAACCTCAGTAATAACATAGAGACAATGCGATTAAGTTTATATCCAATGGGAGTGTATCGAGATTATACGAATTTGCGTTGGTGGGCACACAGTTGAATTAGATTGCCGGCGGCCGTCAGTGGGAATATGGGATGTGTAAAGATGGTGGAGGGTAACGCAGGAGTAGTGGGAGGAGTTCGAATGCATCGAACTGCAGGAGCAGCGGTTAGGTTAGATCTCTGTTTTCTACATCTGCGTCGACTCGAATCGCTTATACACGATCAACACACTATTCAATCGCCCTCTCTTACTTAGCAATTTCATTGTTTCATTGTTATTTCTCTATGAAACAAATTAATTATTTTTACTATACTCCAATAGCTTTATTTTTTCAGGAAGTAAATATTAAATTTCAGGAAGTAAATATTCGTTGAGAAGTAAACTTTTGACGAAAAGCATAAACTGTTATTTACTATACGAAAAAAGTGGCCAAGATACTTGACTTTTGACTGTAGATTCATATTATAGATTGGGGAGGAACATCTATTATGTTTTCCCCTTTGAAATCTATTCAACTACGCTCTATAAGCAATGTTGAAGGTGATGGAAATGATTCTTTTATGACCGCCCCATCTCGTGAAATTTTAAAAGAAAAACTTGTGAATAAAAATTCTATAAGCTTGCAAATTACTACAAAATGACCGATCCTATGTTAAAAATTATTTTATTACATATAAATCGTAAAATACTCGCTCTTATTCATAAATAGAAAATTAAAAAGTTTTATCCTATATGATGATAAATATTTTTTTAGTAAAAAGTCGGACATTTTAACCCTTTCGTGCCCCCAGGAAAACCCGCGAGTCGATTTTGTAGAAACTCATTACTCGGGAGTTTTCGAAGCCGTTGATTACGAATCTGAAGTCAGATTTTCAAAATTCAAAATGGCGGATCCAATGTGGCGGACATTTTTTTCAAAATTTCTCAAATTTAATTGAAACTTGTTACTCGGGGGTTTTCGAGGCCGCTGATTACGAATCTGAAGTCAGATTTTCAAAATTTAGACACCAAAAAATCCTGAGTAACAAGTTTCAAGCAAATTTGATCAATTTTGAAAAAAAAAATGTTCGACATTTAGAATTTCAAAAACCTTGAAAACTCGAGTAAAAAGTTTTAAGCGAATGTGAGCAAATTATGGAAAAATTAAATTTCGCTATTTTCATATCAATATTCTACTTATTGTTTATGATAATTATAACCGTACTATGTAATTTCCTATTTTTATATAAATTTACTAAATTTCACATCAGTTTTTTTAAGGTCTAAAAATTTTTTTTTTTTAATTTTTAAAATTTAACCTTTTATTTATGTCAATAAAGTTAGCAGGGCAAAGTCAGCAGACAGACTTCGGACTACCCTAAAAATTAAAGGCTCATTAAAGGCTATTTAAGTGCCCTATACCGAATTTAAATGCTCCCTTAGATTTCGAGAAAACACATGTTCTGCTAACTTTAAAAAAAGTTAGCAGAACATATTTTTTTAAATAAATAAATAAACCTATTTTTTAATTCCCAATACATACAAATTAAAGGCTATTTAAAGGCTCACGTCTAACAACCATACAAAAATTCGGCAATAGTTGAAAACAGTTTTTAACTAAAAAAATGCCAGCAGAACATTGAAAATCATGAAAAAAATAAATTAATTTAATTTTTTTCACCTTAAAAATTAAATGCTATTTAAAGGCTCACGTCTAACAACCATACAAAAAATCGGCAATCGTTGAAAACAGTTTTTAGCTAAAAAAATGCCAGCAGAACATTGAAAATCATGAAAAAATAAAATAATTTAATTTTTTTCACCTTAAAAATTAAATGCTATTTAAAGGCTCACGTCTAACAACCATACAAAAAATCGGCAATGGTTGAAAACAGTTTTTAACTAAAAAAATGCCAGCAGAACATTGAAAATCATGAAAAAAATAAATTAATTTAATTTTTTTCACCTTAAAAATTAAATGCTATTTAAAGGCTCACGTCTAACAACCATACAAAAATTCTGCAATGGTTGAAAACAGTTTTTAACTAAAAAAATGCCAGCAGAATATTGAAAATCATGAAAAAATAAATTAATTTATTTTTTTTCACCTTAAAAATTAAATGCTATTTAAAGGCTCACGTCTAACAACCATACAAAAATTCTGCAATGGTTGAAAACAGATTTTAACTAAAAGAATGCCAGCAGAACATTAAAAATCATAAAAAAAATAAATTAATTCAATTTTTTTCACATTGGGAATTAAATGCTATTTAAAGGCTCACGTCTAACAACCATACAAAAAATCGGCAATGGTTGAAAACAGTTTTTAGCTAAAAAAATGCCAGCAGAACATTGAAAATCATAAAAAAATAAAATAATTTAATTTTTTTCACCTTAAAAATTGAATGTTATTTAAAGGCTCACGTCTAACAACCATACAAAAATTCTGCAATGGTTGAAAACAGATTTTAACTAAAAGAATGCCAGCAGAACATTAAAAATCATGAAAAAAATAAATTAATTCAATTTTTTTCACATTGGAAATTAAATGCTATTTAAAAGCTCACGTCTAACAACCTGTTCAATGTTCTGCTGGCATTTTTTTAGTTAAAAACTGTTTTTAACCATTGCAGAATTTTTGTATGGTTGTTAGATGTGAGCCTTTAAATAGCATTTAATTTTTAAGGTGAAAAAATTAAATTAATTTATTTTTTTCATGATTTTCAATGTTCTGCTGGCATTTTTTTAGTTAAAAACTGTTTTCAACTATTGCCGAATTTTTGTATGGTTGTTAGACGTGAGCCTTTAAATAGCCTTTAATTTGTATGTATTGGGAATTAAAAAATAGGTTTATTTATTTATTTAAAAAAATATGTTCTGCTAACTTTTTTTAAAGTTAGCAGAACATGTGTTTTCTCGAAATCTATGGGAGCATTTAAATTCGGTATAGGGCACTTAAATAGCCTTTAATGAGCCTTTAATTTTTAGGGTAGTCCGAAGTCTGTCTGCTGACTTTGCCCTGCTAACTTTATTGACATCTTTTATTTTATGATTATTAATGTGATCAAACACAAGATGTGTTTTTGATTTGCTTATGTTCGTTTTAAGATTAAAAATTATTATTATTAAAAATTGCCTGATGAGGACTTAATCAAAGTCGAAATTTGTAGCAACTTATACAATTTTTGTAATAAACAAACATCTTTAACCGTAAAACGCCTCTAAATACTATTATCAATATTATTAAAAAACGGTTCTTGAATAAATTTATTAATTTATTATTTTTTATATCAAAATTTCGCACTGTCACACTTTTTTCCTAATTTGTAAACTACTTTTACAAAATTTAATATATATTCTCTCTCCGTGTATATTGTTAAAATTTGAGTACAATGTACTGTACAACTGTACTGGAATACTACAGTTAAACATCGAAATGGTTTTACTGTAACACAAATTTTAAGTCTAGTTCTGGTAACTATAAAGAATAAAATAAAAAATAATCTTAGTATATGAATTTATTGTCAAACAATAAATAAAACTACAGGAAATTAAAATAATAAAATTCCAAGTTAATCATTATTTAAAAAGAGATGATGTTACTCTATTTTACTGATATTAAAATATACCAAACATTTCAGGTTTTTTACCTCCATCATTATACCCGTTCGATCTTCAAAACAACATCATTACTTTTATATACCGGTATTATCAGCAAAAGAACGAGTATTTCTACTTGGATTTACTTAAAAGCATCCTATAATAAAGAAATCACAGCCAATTGTAACACCTGTTATGATCAAGGCAATACAGATGAGGTATATCATAACGGTGTTATTGGAAAGTTTCTAAATAATGTGACAATTCAATTCCGGATACTATCTAGAATCTAAAATTATTGTTTTGGGAACAAGTCTGTAACAAGTTTTCTTTAATTATTGTTAAAAAATACAACACAAAATTGTCTATTTAGTTACAGCAGATCTTCGAAGGGACAAGGATTAAATTAAATTAGAAAACGACTTTAAAAAATGTATTTAAATTAGCACCGAACTCATGGTAGCTATGTAAAATATGTATATTTCCATTGATGCACAATGTTATGAGAATAAATACTTATAGACTGCCACTATAGTTTAAACTAGTGGTAGCTTAAGTGTATTTATTCTCATAACACTGTGCATCAATGGAAATATATATTTTTCTAACTCTCCTAATGTATATGGAGCATATACACTAACACTCAAGTGATATTATGTTAGTTTAGGTATTTATTCTCACCCCCAGAAAAATATTTTATTTGAATAAAATAAATTTCAATAATTTTACTTATTTTAAGAATAAAATTCTTTTAAATAATATTAAAAATTCAACTGAATTTACAAATTAACATTTTTTTTAAAGAAAGGCAATTTTTCTTGAACTGATTTGTATACTTGTATTCTGGAATTTCGATCGACTCCGAACGATAATCTCGGTTTTTATTAGAAGATTAAAATTTATTTTACATTGACGGAAGAAAATTTTGAAAAAGCCTTCTTCAAGGTAAGTAATTTATATTTAATTTAAAATACTTTTGTATTTATTTATTTTTAACCTGATTGCAATCTGGTATAAATTTTGTAATAATTTCCAAGACAAAATTTGAGCAGTTGATGATTTTGTAACCTATTATAGATTGGAGATTTCAATGTCGGACGATGAGTAGATTAACTTTCCATCGACTTCAAAGAAGAAAAAAGAAGTAATGGCTGAAGCGTTTGAATTTAGATACACTGCAAGAAAAGACAAATTTGCAAAGACGTGCAAATTATGTTTTCAAAAAGATAAAACAGTAAAAATAATTATTAATTAAAATGAAAGACAGTAATGCGGTCGGGACAAATAGACATCTTAAGTTGTACCACAAGGAATATTCCGTAAAGGCTTTTTCAGATAAATCGCCAGTTACGTCAGAAGTAACAATTAAACTTTATAATTAAATTAAAAAAGCAATTTATATTTAAATAAAAAAATAATTTTCAATGCTTTTTTTTTGCTTAGGGACTTTTGGGAAATCTGCGTACAGATACCTTGGATTCCGCACTCCAAGGTTATGTGTCTTAAAAATTTTACAAGATCCCTTAATAAAAATGTTCTAGATTCGAAA